ACACACACACACACACACACACACACACACAGACACGCACACATTCTCACATGCATACACACACACACAGACACACACACATTCTCACATGCATACACACACACACACACACATACATACAGTGCCTTGTCTTTGTAACCAAGGGGGGTTTACGAGGGGAGGTACTTGTGTAAACTATTGTTTATTGTGACAGTTTTTTCAATAAAAGGCAGCGAGCGGAGGCCGGACTCGGGGTCATTCGTGATGGGATTCGAAGTGCGTTCCTGAGATACCGACGAGGCCTCCCTTGCAAGTAAATCGATCGACCGCTGTTGCCTTGCTTTTTTTGTTCTTCAGGGGAATAAGTCCCGGGGTCAGCGGGGTCTAAGTTTAGACCCAACAGCTTTCATCTTCATACATTTTTGAGATATTCATGTTCAAACATCGTGCCAGAAAATAGTTTGAAGGGTTGGCTGACCATTATTTAAAATGAAAAAAAAAGGAAAAGTATTAATATATGAAACAAAAATTAGACAGTTGGTGGTTCTTTTTATGGTGATTAATAATAGTAAATAATAGTAAAATGCAGCACTGTTGTACAGGCAGTCGTTAAACTCGTGATTTCCGAATTACTGTAGTGCTGCTGTTTGAACATTAAGGCTTCCTTCACACTCGCTGCTGTTTGAGAGCAAAGATTAGATATGAAAATAGAATTCAAACTCTACTTACAGATGACGTCAGCAAGTACAGTGCTGGTGTCCTTTTGTAAAACTGTTGAACAATGAAGTTGTAAGAGAGTAGGTTTATCATTGATGCTCATCAGGGAAACAAAGACTTTAGACTTTCCTACTCTCCCCGCAGTCCGTATGACTTCTAATGTGAAACCTAACCTGCATTAGTTACCAAGGCAAATTACCCAGGTGAGAGGAGAGGTGAACCACCTTGTTACTGCTGAGTTAACCCTGAAGTTACCTGGATAAGACCAAAACATCTACATTGCTGCTGAAACAGAAAACAGTGCGTTTACTGCGGCACCTCAGAGTAAATCATATCACAGAATATGATGAGCTTATGTTGAGGCGAACTGAAGAGG